AAATAACAATGAAAAATTTTTATTAGCTCTGGTTTTTGAGATACACAGTACTTAATCTTAAAGAGTAGTTATACTATACGTGAAAAGTGAAAGTACATAAAACAATATTGTTATGTTTCTTTTAGAATATTTTAAGTACAAAATTAATAAAAAAAACAATTATTCTTAGTGTTTTNGGTGTCATTTTACGTTTCTGAGCCTTAAATGTTATTTCACCACATATATAGCAAAAGCTATCGACAGAATTCACACACTTTCGAGGCATTTCAGATCAGCACTTAAATTAATTTAAAAATCAACTTCACACGATAATTTCAATAGCAACCACGTGCGTACAATTGACAAACTCACATAGGTTATGTTTACTACTTAAGAACAGCTGATGAGAGGGGTGTTATGTAAACAAACATGTGTACCAACTGTTGGTGATGAAATATTTCATTTGTTGAAAACTCAATATACATATATATAATATAATGATACTATATCTTGAAAACAAGAGCTAATATATAATTTTTATGGTCACTTTCGGTTTTAACACGTGGAAATACATCAAAATCATCTAATTTCAACCCCGAAACAAAAATTTTGTTGTGTTGTGATGGGAAGTTTTATATATTCATCAATTAACAACTGAACCAATTGAAATCTACAAAATCTACATAAGGAGTTACATTAAATATACAGGAATGTAAGACTGCAAGAGGGAGATTTGGTAAATACGTTGATCCCCTCATTATCATGAATTTTTAGAGTAAATATATTTTCGCTGTTGCTTTCCAGCATCACATTCAAAGCACTAATCTGTATGCCTGAAAACAGGCAGTTGCAAGGGTCAGGGATTAGACACAACTTGTCTGCTTAGAAGAAGACTCCGAAAAAGTAATAATCTTGCAAATTTTTGTTCAGATAATTCAATTTTGACCCGAATAATTACTATTCCAGAACATAATTATTCATTTTGGAATTATTTTCGTTCAAAATCGTAAATATTATGCAGTTAAATCTGAGCTTCACTTCGTTGAATACTCTGAAACAGAGAATTATTTCGTTGATATACAGAGTGAGTCAACAAGGTTCCCTCGGTCCATTGCCATCAGAGGAAATATTTTTTTGCAGTTATATCGATAAATACTATATTTCAAAATTATTTTCTCACATACTCGGCGATACAGCCGAGCGTAGCCAACCAAAGTTATATATTTTTAAATAGAACAGCCAGTATATGAATACGTCATTCGATTTCATATTCTTTTAACTCTCTAAAGAATTTTGGTTTTCCAATTTTCATTTTCGCATTGCCATGTTAATCCAGAAAAACCTACTCTTCAGACAATACTTTTTTAACGTTTGTTTGAAGGTGATTGACAATGTTTCATGATGAATTTCACTAGTTCCCTGAAACAACTAAAAGAGAAGAATTAAAAATGAATAGCTGAAAATAACAATTATATTAAGCAAAAAAACCTGAAATGAAGTAATAGTGGAATAACTTGACTTGGAATCACTTAACTTTTTATTTAATTTTTATTTTCATTTTTATTTTATTTTTTTTATTTTTTGTTCAATTGTTCTATTTTTACTTGTATTTTATTCCACTATCATTTCATTTCAGGTTTTTTTGCTTAACATAATTGTTATTTTCACCTATTCACTTTCAATTCTTCTTTTTTTAGTTGTTTCAGAAATTTCAAATAATTTCATATATTAGATAATGGAAGTTCGAACTAGTGAAATTCAATATTTTTTTTAATTCACTACCCGTATGTCGAGAGCAAATAAGTGGATTTGTTAGGAATAGTAAGTCAACATCACTATGATAATTTCTGGAATCTTGACGTTCGGAAACAATATATAGGGCGTTCGGTAACACCGGTCAAGATTCGTTCATTTTCAAACAGTCATAATTCTTCAACTTTTTCAAATAGAACACCAGGTATTTTTTCGTTTGTATGAAATATTTCAATATTTTACAAAATTTCAATAACAGGTATACTAGACAAAAACACTGATATTTAACAGGTTATACCAAGTTTTAGTAATTGTTGTAACCACAAAAAAAATGTATATTCTCACGTTCACTTACTCAAATTTGTTTTTCGAATATTCAAACTAATCGCTAGTACATTAGCATTTTATATGTTTAAAAAATCTGTTTAAAATCTATTTTTCCATTAATCAGCTGTCGCCCCCATACGAACGACAACTCTCAGAAGTTGAGAAACTTGTGCGAGCTGAGGACTAACGTTCACATTTCAAATTGCTCTTCACCTCGTTGAAAATCCCCATGTGAGTACCCGAGACCTGAGCAGGGAATTAGGATTTTCTCAAATTAGCGTGTCTCGAATGATACGAGCAAGCGAATTTCATCCTTACCGCATGAAATTGACGCAAGAGTTAAGAGAAAGATATTTTGAAAAACGTGTTCAATTTTGCCGATGGGGCTTAGAAAATATCAATCAAGATAATTATTTTTTCGATTCAGTGTTATTTTCTGATGAAGCAGCTTTTCATAAAAATGGAACTGTGAATCGGCATAACAAGCATTATTATGCAACGCTGTTAATGGTTCGTTGCCTGAACCATTAACAGCGTTGGTCACCGAATGTTTGGTGTGTAATTCTCCGAAAAAGAGTTATCGGTCCGTTTTTTTAGTAGGCATCTCACTGGAAGAAAATATGTAAGATTTCTTCGGCATGAGTTGTCGAATTTATTGGACGGGGTTCCATATGGAACAAGACTTAGAATGTGTCTACAACAAAATGGTGCACTACCACATTTTGAAACTGAGGTATGAGAATACCTCAACGATTATTTCAATCAAAAATAGGTAGGAATATATCAAATGAATTGTCTACCAAACTCCTTCAAGATCTATAGAAGACATGAAACGAAGAATCAACAGAGTTTTCAAGGAAATCCCAGAGGATATGCCGGAACGTGTTTAAATGAACTCTTTGTTCATTTAAAAAATACTGACATTATGTGTTGCAGAAAATGGTTGCCATTTTGAACATCTTTTGGACTCACCTATTCAATAAACCATTCAGGCGTTATTGTTCATTTTGAGAAAATGTTGAGTATGTGAACGTAAATGAATGAATTTTGTGTCGTTACAGCAATTAATAAAACTGGGTGTAATTTGTAAAATATCAGTTTTTCGTATAGTATACCTCTGACAAAAAATAAAAAAATACAGGATGTTCTATTTGGAAAAGTTGAATAATGTCTATTTAATGAAATTTGACTGGTTTTACCGAGCACCCTATATATTGTTTCCAGAAGTTGAGATATTCAAAATTTCTATAGTGATGTTGACTAATTGTTCCTAAAAAATCCACTCAATTGCTGTTGCGTGGCAATGCCACAATGGAAATTCGAAAACAAACATTCCTTAGGGAGCTAAAAGAATGACGTATTTATATACTGGCTATTCCATTTAAAAAGATATAACTTTGGTTGGCCACGCTTGGCTGAATCACACAGTATGCCAGAAAATAATTTCAAAAGATAGTATTACTTCGAAAAAAAATTGAGCAATTTGAAAAATTGTTTTCCCTGCTAGCAATGGACCGAGGGAATCTTGTTGACTCACCCTGTAATTCTCCAATGAGAAGTCTGAAATGACTACATCCTACGAAGATACTATATATGATACATAAACTATGAAGTACTCGTCAAAAGTACCTTGATGAACAAAGGTACTATAATTGAGAAGTGTTCTTGTTGAAGGTAGGTGAGGTCGAAGTGAGTATATATAATCTAGTGACAGTTCGAAGCAAGGCTGTCAAAAATTGAATCTCGAATACAATGTTTCGGATTCTGGTATCATTTAGTTCATGTACAGTGTCATCCCCAAAGTATGCACCATATGTGAAACTTATTTATTAAGGGTTTTTCGACAAAAAGTTATTCCTCATGAAAGTTTACGCATCCCCTAAAACTGAACATGCTCCAACAAAATACGGTACAACACACATAATATACGAGGGGCCATCAAATATTTGATTTTGTGACTGAAGTAAAGTACTCTTATTTTGAAAAATCTCGGGAAATGTTATCCAGAGAAGTTGTTCAGCATTGAAAAATACATCTAGATTTAAAGTTTCGGCCATCTAAGTGAAGTTTTATTTTTTTCACAATTTTTTTTAAATAGGGACTAAGAAACAAAATTATTTGCTAAAACGATAAATAGATGAAATCCTGTTGTTACCAGCGAACATTACTCAAAATTGTGCAGTATTGTAACAATAACTTGATATTCAATCATATCAAATCACAAAACATCAAAATAAAATAGGCATTTCAGAACAAACTCAGCGATTTTCTGGAGATTCAACTTGAAACACTTATTTTGGACAAGCAAATCTCCAGGAAATCAATGAGTTCGTTCAGAAAAGCCTATTTTATCTTGATGTTTGATTGATATCATTGAATATTAAGTTTTTGTTACAATACTGTATAATTTTGAGTGATTTTCGGTGATAACAAAAAATAAAAATAAGTTTGCACCAAAAACTTTGAAAATTGATTTAGTTTTCAAAATAATTGACCGTGGTTGACACTACTTTTGAAATGAGCCGTCGTATATTTATCGTTTAAGCAAAAATTTGTTTTTCGTAGTCTCCGTTTGGAAAAATTGGTAAAAAAAAATAAAACTTCAATTAGATGGCTATGACTCCAAATCTAGATGTATTTTCCAATGTTTATCAACTTTTCTGAATAACATTTTCCGAGATTTTTCAAAATGAGAGTACTTTACTCTTGTCACAAAATCAAATATTTGAAGGCTCCTCGTATACTACGTGTGTTTTACTGGATTTTGTTGGTGCATGTTTAGTTTTGGTGAATGCTCAAACTTTTATCAGGAGTAACTTTTTGTCGAAAAACCCTTAATAAATAAGTTTCCCATATGGTGCATTCTTTAGAGATGACACTGTATGATTTATGCTATTTATGTTTAAAATGTTGAGCTCATCTTTAATCTTGGGAACTTGTGGAAATGATAATAAAAATATATTTGAAGAAACTACACAATACATATCTACTTCAAGAAAATCTCATCGACAGGAATTTTTTCGAAAAACTCGTTAGTCACCAATTTGAACGCTTCTCCATACGCTTTTTGCACGCCTTCTCTAACATCTTCGTAAATCACATTCCAGTTTTCATTGACGACTTTGTGAATATTATCTGATAGTTTTTCATTGCCGTTAAAGAGGTTCCTGAAATCGAAGTGAGCTCCCTTTATGGTTATCTTCATGTCATAACTTTTCACAGTTAAATGAGCTCGGTTATTTTTCGTTTTCTTCTCGAAGGTGACAGTGTGGACGATTGTGACATCACCTAAAAATACTGCTGTTAAAAATCATAGTAGGAGAGATTCAATGAACAGTTTCACATGAGTCAAAATTTATCAATAACATTTTAATCAAATTCTAAAAAAAAAGTTGAAATAAATTGTTTAGGCGCTTCCGCATGATTGAATTCTCAGTATATTGGATAGATTGGATGGGATAGGTTTTGAAACCGCCGCCATGACTTAGAATACTTTGATTGTCTTTGTAAAATGTATCCGCACGGAGATGAATGTTCTGAAAAACAACCGAATAGTTCTTGAGAAAAGAATTCATGAACCTAGAATTGGCGATTCATTGGATTTCTGAATCTTTCCTCCGCTACTGATAGCTGAACTGCTACCAATGTCTCCAGAACATCTTTGAGGCATCTGGTCCTGGTGAAATGCCCGTCATCGTACTTAAAAAGATCGCAAATGAAGTTGTACCAGTATTTTGCAGACTTTCCAACCTATCTTGCAAGAAAGGGGATTTTCTTCCTGTTGGAAGATTGCTCCAATTCCAAAAAGGGCAAGAAAAATCTTCCAAATAACTATAGACCAGTTGCTTTGTATCAGTCATAAAAAAACCATTGAGAAAGCTGTAAACCACCATATCCTTAAATATGTAGAAGGCTTCAGCATCTTGAGCGATCATCAATGTGGCTTTCGGAAACAAAGATCAAGATCAACAGGCGATCTTCTATCGTACGTCACCCATATTTGGGATAACGCAATCGAGAAACATGGAAAGAGCTGTTGCGATTGGTATTTCTGAAGTGTTTGGCCGTGTGTGGTATTAGGGTTTGCTGGCCAAACTTCGATGCTATGGATTGTCAGATCATTTTTGTGTATGGCTTTCCAGCTTCGAGAAAGGACGTTCTCTGCAAGTGGCCGTCGATGATGGATACCCCAGGGATCTATATTGTCTCCAACCCTTATTTTATCGTATATCAACGACTTGTAACGGGTTGAATTTGCGGTAACTATGTTCTTCTTGAAACTTTGAGTAAATAATACCGTATTCTAATATCGTATTCTATATCTAATATCATCTCACCCGGTAGGTATTCGAAGAAACCAATTCTTAGTATAGAAAATCGTAATTTCTAGCTAACTCATCCTTGAGGATATATGATACCCTGATTTGTTAAAAACATTTCCTAATTTATATCGAACATGGTTTCGATTGTTTTCTTTTGGACTAATTCACCTGGACTATGGTAATTAGTTGAAATAATAAATTTTCGATTTTCAATCTCGGATTGGCCAACGGGCTACTTAAGTGTCAGAGAGGCATACGCGTTTTTCACTGAACTTTTTCAAAATAGGCGAGAAATGCAATTCCTTCTCCTGGTCGAGGTCAAAATTCCTTGTTCTCAAAGATCGTAGCTGGCAGCCATCGAAGAAAATTTTAAAGGGCTCGTGGAATAAAAAGTTTGTGATAACAACTTCGTTGGAGAGTTATATTCCTGGGCCCGATATTAGTGGAAATTATGCCCTAATTTCATAGTTCATAGTTCAGAATTTTTTTGGATCTCTGGAATGTTCTAATGGGTAATTTTTTACTGTAATATTGTAGATAGTTTTTTTATTTTCTAATTAGGAAGCGAGGAAAACTGAACGTGATACTGAAAATCAAATAGAATAATAGAGGTGGTTTCTTTTTTAATAATTTATAAAGTATTGTTGCCACGTCCTGAGAGGAAAACAAATTAAAACAGTCATGTGAATACAGGGTGAATTAGCTTTCAAAAAACGGTTAGAAAGAATAGATACTTTTCCTAATTTTTTGCAATTGTGCTAATAGTCTCATAGTTTCTGTCCTTCTATAATAGGATGGTACATACATGTTGTCCCACCTTAAATTAAACTGTCCTTTGATGATTTTGTTGTGCATATTTTACAATGAAGAAAGCTGAAATTACTTCATTCATGTGCTACCTATAGCTATCCATATGGGGATTAAATAGTAAAGAATATGGAAATATCGTCCAAGTTTTGTTCTTGACAGATGATTCTTTTCCTAGGGTTTTTTTTGTACAAAACCTCAACCCAGAGTTTTCAACGTTTTGGTAATCGAAGATCAATCCATATACGGGGTGATCGAATAGTTAGTCTCACCTTCATACAGAACGGTTCATGGTCATCAGCACGAAAGGAAAGAAGCTACTCGGAAACTTCGATATCATCATTAGTCCACTTACAATTATTGTAAGGCGGAAATTCAATGTTTTTTTTATGATTTTTTAACTGCGCATACGCTTGAGCTCTCGCGACGCATTATAACTTATTGACGACATTCGAATTTCTGCATCAAATTCGGGTTGATGTGTTATTCTGAACAGCTGGTGATACATACCCTCATTTTTTTTGCTGAATTCATATTCATTTACCAATTGTTTCTAACCGTGGTAACTAATATGTATATATGTGTATATATGGGTATTTGTATATGTATATATGTGTATATATATGTTCTTGTCTATTTGTAGAATGATATTTTACAATCCCGGAAATAATTATTGATTTATGTAGTTTCAAGTTTAGAATACATTTTTCAACCGGTACTTGTTGTTTCATATCATTTGGTAAATTAGTGGTATTGACACATTTAGGGTGTTTGTGAGGCAATTCACCTGGCGCCCATTTTTTAATGAAATCTCAATCTTGAAATTTTATCCAAGAACCCCTCCAGTCTTCACTAAGACTAGTCACAAATACCCACCTGTCTCGGGTTAAGTTGACAGGTGACTTGTACCCTTGTCATCGATCGGTAAGGTTACAGACTCATTGGAAAAAATCAAGAATCCATCGTTTTGCTTTGCTGATGACAGCAGCTGTCTCGTAGTTCCATTTTGTAATAACGGCCATTGCGATAGTAAATATTATTTCATTTATTGGGATCGAGGTCGATCACCTGTTTCTTCGGTGTCGATATTTATCCAATGAAAAAACGCTGAATTACTTTATGACTGTCGGACCTTCGAGCGTCGTTGTGGTCATGTTAAAGTTTAGTTAGACTAAACAAATGAATGTATTCCATCCTGCCGATGAGCATACCCTTGGGAAGGTTGAAAAAACGCTGATATGAGGTTTGTGTGGATAGCGTAGCTGACGCGAGGGCTTGGGAGTTGCTTGCGGGAGACACAAAAAGTCGGTCACCGGACCCCGTCTAGACGAGATCGGGGGTCTCATCTCTAAGCCTTCGAGGCTGGGGAAGGTGGCCTAAATAGGGAAGTTATTTTCTGTAAGCGCGTGGTGCAAAATTTAGGAAAAATCGGTGTGGTGAAATTCCAAGTCGGTATTGGGTACAGGGGAGTTTAAAATTGGAAGTGGTGGTGTTAAAGACACCCCGGGTCAACAGAACCTATGATTGACCACGAACCACCGAAAGAGGCGTTATGTGAGTGTTTGTTGTTATTTTTTTACTAACCAGTTGATATTTAGAGAGAGTTCACATATTAATTTGTCCGAGTCCACTTTCCTATTTGCAAAGAGGTTGCATATTGTTAGGTTCCTAATGCTGATAGTTAACCTAGAGTACAATTACAAAAAAAAGGGGTGAACATTTAAAGTTATACACCACTCTCTCTAAAGTTAAAGTGAAACTGAAAGTATTTTGTACCGAGTTGGTTCGTTTGTAAGTGTTTAAGAGTTTGAATTAAATAGCAGATAGCACAGCCAAATTGCTTGATATAATTGTTATTTTCAACTATTCATTTTTGATTCTTTTTTTCTAGTTGTTTCAGGGATTTTAAATCATTTTATATAGTAGACAATGGAAATCCGAACTAGTGAAATTTATCTCCCTGTATATTATTCTGACGCGCTTTGGTAAATCCCGAAACCCCCGCTTGGGCTCCCCTATTATTGACACAATGAGTCTTTTATATTCAAGAACTATTTTTTCACAAAATCATGATATATAATCCTATTTTTTCTCGATCATCCCAGAGTAATCAATCTGAACGCCAAATACTATGTACCTGTTCACAAAATCTTCACTAATACTCACGTAAAGTAATTATCGAGTCACCTTTCCCAAAAACAGGTATTACCAATATTTTACCATTTATATCGTATTTTGCTTCCTGTCTAATTTCTGGGTGAAGTGAAGAAAATTCCAAAGTATTTTTCTGTGAATCATAGCTGAAAAAAAATTGATTCAGAACATGTTCAGAACTTATCTAGCATGGAATTCCAGAAATCGACAAGCCGAGATAAAAATACTTTTCAAATAATATCCCACCGATGAAGCTACGGTGTTAGCCAAACACATCTAGAAATAAAAATGTTTTTTGGTCGCGCCAAAAACAAAAACCCGCGGCACTCACTTTGGACAGAGTTTTCGCACACCCAAATATTCATGCACGATCTCTCCAACTTCACTGAGGTCATCCGAAATTATTTTGTAATCTTTTTTTAAAGAGCCCCTTTGAAGCAGTTTAAACTCAGCAAACCACCAAAACAAACCAATTTATTTTTCATTTTGGTATCTTGTATCATAACTTAACCCTAAGAATCACTTATGATGCAAGAATAATGATGCCTGAATGTAACTTTGATGCCTATCAATTTTTTTGCTGTTGGTAAGTGGAGTTCTAATGCTCTAAAACTCTGTTTTGGTGTCCAAGCCTTAATTTTTTCATTTCATCGGTTAAGGGAATAATCTTTCGAAAACTCTCAGACTTCTGATATTCTGAATGTAATTATTGCCAATAAAGAAGATGATAGAACCCACTTTCCATAACAGAAGAGGGTAAACGAACAGTAACAACCATTCTGTTAGTGCGGTACTGAAATTACTCACTGTGAATCTTTCACTTTGATTTTAGAAAATCCAATGACTTTCACGTCGTGATAATTCTGTACCAAGTTCACAGCACTGGTTCCTGCTCCTATCACTATACTGGTGAATTTCGCTGGATCAATCGGAGGTAGATTGAGGGCGGCTATACCTGAAACGTTCAACAACAACATTTTTATGAATCCAATTATTATACAGCATGACATTCGATGAGTTATTTTTTTATCCTTCCCGGAAGTGAACATATGTTTTGAAGTTCCTAACTGGTAAACTACAGCCATACTCGACATACCGTAAGATTCGTCACCGAGAACTTGATGAGGTCGGGATTCAACTTTTACCATGACCGGCACGCAGTCCCGATCTCAACCCGATAGAGCGAATTTGGGACAACCACAAAAGACGTGTAAGAGGTAGAGTACTAGCCCTTATGACCTTGGGAAAACTCAAGACGGCTGAGGTGTAGTGGTGGCACAATATTCCTCAATTGGATATCCAGAATATCGTGGATGGGTTACCAAACCGACTCCAAGAAGTCATAAGGGCTAGAGGTGGAACACCCATTATTAATTTTCAATTTGTTTTGAGAAACGCCAATTTTGTCACAATTAAGCTTGTCAAATTTTCATCGAAGATTTTCTTTAGTTGAATTTTCGTAAAGAATCCATTAAAAAACGACTTTAATTGAACAATTTTGTTTTTTTTACCTTAAGGGTAGTTCACAACATACCCTTTCATGAAATGTGATATAAATTTAAGTGAAAATACAAGGTGAGCGGTTAATTGTGCCTTTGAGTTTACTGATGGTAATGAAAATAATTGTTGTACTATTGGTATTCATTTGTTAATGGTATTTTCCTATGACTAGCTCGCTCACTTTTCGCATTCCCGGGATTTTGTGAGAATCATGTATAAGATTATAAATTGCTCCATCATTTCTGACTGTTTTTTTTATCGCAGTAAAAGAAAACGATTTATTCCATTATAACCCTTCCTTAAACTTTTCTCTCCCTTACCTGAACCCCCGATAATCTGGAATGCGTTTTCAATTGTGGAATCCAGACAGCTGTCTAAATTGGGATCGCTGAAGTGACATCTTTTGAAAGCGTCAGCTGAAAGAAAAATCAATATAATTCAGTTCGAAATTACATTTGTCGCTATTGTTATTATTCGAAACGAATATTACACCCTGATGGAAGCCATTAGAATTACCAATATTCGAAGATATGACTATGATTTTGTAGTTATCATATTAATTCGAGAAAAAGAAAATTTTAGCTGATTCCACTGTTGCTATGTCTGAATTATTGGTGATTATTGAACTGTGTGAGAGTCTTTATAAAAGTGAAGAATGAGGGGCTCCTTTATTCACGCCGGTACCCAGGCCAGGGTGGCTCGGATAACCACGTAAGGGGGCTGTTTATGTAGAAAAAAACCAAAAGGTCTCCCGAGCAGGGGGCGACTTGATGAAAAATTTAATTGTTTTTATGATAAAAAAGTTCGACAAAAAACGGGTGGCAGCATTGCTCCGAGCAAGGCCGCTACGCCCCCCGACGAAGCTCCTGTCAACCTTGATGGGAGGAACCTGGCCAAATGCGCCCGAGTGGAAAACAACGGTCACTAATATAAGATAGAGAGAGAGAGAAATTCAGGATATCTGTGGTGTTTTTTAAATTTTCGTCAAAAACTAAAATTGTTAAATCTAGTTTTTGGCTCTACTGCCTCCACTCCAAATGATATTCAAGGAAGGCAGAGGAGCTTACAGTACTGTTCAGTATTTGTTATAATCTGATATGACCCAGTTTGCAATGCGACGTTTCGTTCATTAGACGTCATCATCAACTTAATTTTTTTGAATATGGACCATCGATTGTTGGAGCCAGTGTAATAACAAATTCAGCTATGTATTGCAATACATTTTGGTAGTGAGAGAAGAATCAATAATTTGTTCCACCGAATTTCCTGTTACATAAATCAATGTATAAACTGCAAATATTTGTATTTTACAATTTTTTACAATTTCACAAGTATCATTTATGTAAAGAATACACAATAGTAATCTATTCCCGATTCACGATCCAAACCAACTCCTCATAGAAATGAAATGCCAACAATTTTGTTGTTCAACTAGAATTTTCATTCATCTAAACTTTTCCACATTCAGATGTATTTTGGATTTTTCTGGTTGTACTTGAAATTTTCAACGAGTCGAAAATTTTCCCCCCATAATACTTTGATTTACTTCGAATAAGATTTTTGACTGTCTCTTACAATTATTGATATTCGATAATTTTGAATGTACTCAGACATTTCGATTCACCACAATATATTCTAGAAAATTCACTCAAATAACTCAAGTGATTGAGAAATGGAATCTATACATTCCAGAAAATACAAATCAAAATGTTCAGATTTTTTTTTTGTCATTGAGTAATTTGTTTTCAAAATACATATTATTTTCTGAATGGTCATTTCCATTGAGATTTTTTTTTAATTGACCACATCTGTCTGCATTACTATTCGTTATTGCAGATCTTTTATACAAATTGTCTCTATTAATTTTTGTAATATGATCTGATTCAATCTTCCTACATTCAACATCTTTTCAGGAATTAAAGAATAATAAACTTACGAAATTGGTATCCATAAATCAATGTAGCAGTCACTGCTAACACTACAAGAAAGTTCAGCCTGTACAAAAACATATCAATGATGGTATTTTATTTCAAGGTTGGAATATATGTTCACATCAAAATGATAATTGCTTGCAAATATGTTTGTGCTTCTTTATATACCTGAATCTTATTTTAAAAAAAGATAAACTGTGAATAATAATACTGTTGCGTTTTTTAAATTATATAATTTGTCAAACACTTTAGCGCTAATTATAAACCTCCATAAAAACCATTAAATTCTGTTATCCTCGACACGAAGCCCGGAAAATAAACAGAGCCGGTTGGATCAAAGTAAACGATTCCAATCACAACCCAAACGAATATTTAAAAAAAAATCTTACTTTTCCTTAATCTGAAAAAAGGAGCAGAGCTAAATAAACATAGAACGTGATAAAGTGAAGAAAAGAGCAAACTGAAAAGTAATCTCAAAAAAGATACTGCGTCATATGAACCACTGAAGAGTCCAAATATTAGTCGGTAACCTGTCATATTCAAAAATGTTAGGTACCTAAAATTCGAAAAAATCCATTGAAAAACAACAAAATGTCTATACTTTCCTTTCTTCAGTGGTTTACGTTTCAAAAAACAATAGTTTCACGACAAAATGGTTGAGGCTAGCTCAAGGCACATGATTCACGGACCCGTTGATCGTTTATACCACGGTGTGGGGATTGGTCTTTGGTTGATAACACTGGCACGCCCTCTCGACTGTATCGGGGCTTCGGGAAGAGGACCCGACCAACAACAATACAATACAATACAATACACTACAATACAATACAATACAATACAATACAATACAATACAATACAATACAATACAATACAATATAATACAATATAATATTTGAAAAACTACACCTCAACGATTTGATCTCCACAAACTTCATTTGAAAAATATATCACAACATGTTTCGCTAAGACATTAGCTTTTGAAAAAGGTAATTTTCAAGTGATTTGTGAACAAATCACTTGAAAATCAATCGTTGAGGTGTAGTTTTTGAAATTACTATGGATCTTCATCAAGTAACGGCCGAATCAACCAGAAAAGAAAACAATACAATATCTTTATTCCTTAAAATGATCATTTTACAATGATATAGGAGTCGTAAATGGTAAAAAACATGAAATGTATTTAAACATCAGTATTACAAAATTCATAAATCTAACACATGAGAGTGCTTCTTTAAAATAAACAATCAAAAGGGTTCATACATGTACATAATAGTTGAAATAGGTAATAAGAGACATAATATTAATTGTTGATTGGCGAATGTGGATATTCAAAATATTCATTAATATTGTGAAAACAACCATCTACGAGATATTCTCTAATTCTCCGTTTAAATACTAAAATTGATGCTACACTTTTCAGGCCGGAAGGTAGACAATTGAAAAATTTGGAACCTGCCAGAGATGGCGTCTTTTTGAATAATTTTGTGCGATGTTGTTGTAGTTTAATTAAATTCCCGTTCCTTGTTGCGTAATTATGATATTGGGAGTTAGTTTTTAATTCGAGTTCGCGTTTTTTCACAAAGAGCAGACAGTTATAAATATAGAGAGAAGCTACTGTTTATACTTATATTCCTTTGCTTGAAAACAGGTCTACATGAATCAGTATGACGTAGATTGTGAAGCATACAAATTATTTGTTCCTGAGCAACAAAGACCCTGTTAATATTTGTTGCGTCTCCTCATAAAATCACATTATAAGATAGAACAGAATTCACAAGAGCATATTAAACATCTAACAGTTGTTCTTCACTCAGTATTTTTCAAGCTGCATTAAGGCATAAAAACTGCTATTAAGTCATCTACTTAAGTAGTCGACGTGAAATTGCCAAAAATTGTCTAAAAACTTTGTGGAATCTGAAGGGTATATTCGTGTTATTTATAATAACGTGTATGGGATGTTCCACATATTTTCTTCGAGAAAACTGTACCAATACTGTTTTTTCTGCATTGACACCACTTTGAGAAATTCTGACTTATAACATTCAATTTTTCTTGAAGTTCCAAAGGACTGTCGGCTTCTGCAGAAATAGAAATATCATCGGCAAAAAGAACTGTTGAAGTAGTGCCGATATGTTGTGGTAAATCATTTATGTAGAGTAAAAACATTAATGGTCCCAAAACTGAGCCTTGTGGAACTCCAACTTCCAAGTCATAAGTATACGAGTTTACTTTATCCCATTCTACGTACATCTTTCGAAATTTCATGTAAGTCATAATCCAAGATAGAAATTTACCTCAAATTTCAATAGCACTAAGTTTCTTGGCCAGTATATTGAAGTTTATAGAATCAAAAGCCTTTGCGGCCACAAACTTTCCTTTGTCAACTCCTCTATAGATATTTTCCAAGAAAGCTGTAGTCGCACTTTCCGTCGATCTACCGGGGCAAAATCCATTTTGACATTTGTTAATTACATTATGTTTCGTTAAGAAAGGAAGTAGTTGTTCATAGTTACATTGTTTCAATTATTTGGCCCAACACACTAGGAATAGTTATTGGGCGGTATCCCCAACGTATCCCTAGAGAAAAAATAATGTTTATTCAATAAAAAAAAATATAAAACTTTCAACATTTCAATTTTCCATTAAACTATGTAAATTTTTTTATTTTCAAAAACAATAATTTCTGTTCCGTAGATATTTTGAATTTTCCACATATAGTCAGTGGGCAACTTAAAGACTGGCTATAAAACAAATCATCTGAAGGAACAATTCGTTCACACCAGTCTAAACTCCCTACACTGTAGGTTAATGCACTGACACCTATCAGAAAACAACTACTTCCCTAGCTAATACCACGAAGGACGTTGGATTATACCCGACAGGTGTACGAATCGAACGAATTGATCCTTTACTTCAGATGATTTGATTTATAGCCAGTCTTCAAGTCCACTGAATATATGTAAAAAGTTTTCTTTCTTTATACGAGGAATTGAGCAACTTTCGGATATGCGGTTGGTTATCTGGTTCACGGGCAGATGGGCCGATGACAAATCTGCTGTTTGTTGTCCGCTTCAGCTTCGTTCGAGGAATAATACTCTGAAAGGAATTCAATTTTCAATTATCGGAAATCATCGACTTCATGTTGATAATACACACTACTGAGTCTGGCACTGACGAGTGGCCAAATAGCCCGAAACTGTTCTGCAGGTGTGTTTCAATAATTGAATATCGATTGCGGCAGTTGTATCGCGAACAGAATATGCAAGAATAACTTCAGTGAATAATCCTGTACTGACATTTGTCCGATATAATCCAACGCCTTTCGTGGTATAAGCCAGGGGAGTAGTTGTTTTTTGTTGAGCTACAGTGTGGGTAATTTGAGAGTGGGCTGAAAGAATTGTTCCTTTATATGATTTGAGTATCTCCTCCGGTACTGAAAATCTGTGTAAAATAATTCAAGATGCTTGTATTTCAGAAAATTCCGATGGAGAATTTCCTCGATATTCAAATGGAAGCTTTCTCGATAAAGTCCGTATACTCCTGCAGGCACAATAATGCATCGATTCATTGTTTCCTCAATCCAATCCTTTTATATCGAACAGATAACAAAAATCGAATATGCCATTGTTTACTTGAGGCTAAAACAAACATCCACTGTTGAATATGTATGCTACTTCAAGTTATTTCAAATATTGCGAAAAAAGGAACACAACGATATTTGTTCTGAGAAAATTAAAAAAAACTTTTCAAACATTCTCGTTCGTGATCTGAGATAATTTTATAATTAGTTCGTGTCATCAAATGATTACCTACTCGTATATATTGATATTACTACAAATTTCGAAGTTCAAAGTTTTTTCTAATAGTCAGAAACTACTAAGTAATTATAAAATTGAAAATACATATTTCTTCATTCTATAATTAGTAACAATTAACAAGTAACAAGTCATAAAACGGTCGTAAAACTCGTAAAATCATAGGCGGAGGTTCCTGAGGTGTTTATTCATTAAATATAAAGCTTCAGTTTATATGCGAAACTTGCCTTGAAAGGGTGAAGTTGTTACGAACGAAAATAATTTTTGGTTTAGTACATTTTTTAATCGCATTTAATTTACGGCTCGTTGGTGTTTCGGCGTCTACGGCAGTAATTAACGTCTCTAATATTTATTTTGCGAATTTTGTGCAGTGCGTGAGTAACTTTTTTTCATATTCCTACAAACATATACGTACCTTTCGTTCCTGCTTGTTTTGTTTGATTGCTTGCGATGGCTTCGTCATCATCATCAACATCATCAAGTTTTACACCGGTACTGTTGCGTACAGTCAGTAAGTCTGTCTATTCACCAAGAGAGAAGA